GAATGAATAATCCAACCCTTCAGTTGAATTGCATTTATTAAGTAAACAATAGGTATCTAAACGTAAACAATTAATTACGATAATGTTGTAGAATAATTTACGTACGCGTCAGGTTGCATCCACTATGATGAGGGTCGTCCACAATCACGCAACCATTAAACTACAATTCAAAGATTAATGGGTGGCCTTTAATGTTTATAATTCAAGCTAAGAATTAAATAAATCCCTTTCGGCTCTGCCGATCAGGTGTAGGTAAATTTCTTTATGTGACTATTTAACATATAAAAGTGTCCACCATTTTGTTCCAATATGGCGGAATTGGCAAAAGCATGAGATCATTTCAGTATCGTGGAAAATGCAACGTGGTGTATGTTGGTCTTGCGTGAGATTTGATCTATCGCCCTAGCTTCTATTTAATTGGTAGTGCAGAAATGAAGAAAAGGAATCAACATTCCATTCGAGCTAGGGTAATTTAAGTAGTATCCATTTCCCAGGGGAAACCGATTCACATGTTGTATACCACGGAAACCATCAGCTTCACGAAGTATTGTTCAATTTTCAATTTCTTATTGTGCAAATTAAATTGTTTTGTATGGATTCGGTTAAATTTCATAGAATTAAAATAGTAATTAGAATTTTGCGTAATTATTTAACGGCACTGTGTAGATTCTAGATTGCCTCCTGAAAACATTGATTAATTATGTGCAATATACACTGTGTCCCGAAAATTTCATTAAAATTAATCAAAGTGCACTGGGTGTTCATTTATTTATGGCGGCCAGTATACATTTTTTCAAACTGTGAAGGTAAAGTGTAGGGCTCCACTAAATGATTTGGCTTATTGATTTTTTCGCTCTTTAAATATTAAATTTAAAGTTGTACAAATTTGGAAACGCCTCAGACAATTTTTTCCAAAAAAATTCCCACCTTTAAAAATATAGGGGTTGAGTTAGCCTCGCTACTCCTCAGCCAGGTCTGTAATTCTGTATTATTGGAGAAGTATTGGACAAGTTTTCAGCGTGTCCCATCTTTTTGATCTCTACAAGACACCGTCGAAAAATTTTTAATACAACGTTTCGTTTCGGAGAACCATCCACTTTGCACATCCATTGAGTAGTATTTCTTATTACGAATACAACGATAAACGGCATTAAAAAGTTGGAAACTGTTAGTTTCAACAAGATGGTATACCCGCACCTAACGCCGAATTCGTTTGAGAAAACACGCGTTGTGCGCGGGTGCAGCATCTTGTTGAAACCAAGAGTTTCCAACTTTTGTTTTTTTCTTGTGTGCCGTATCTCGTATTCGATCCGATGTGTACTTTTTTTATGGGCCATATAAAAGATAAAGTCGATGATGATTTCTCCAAAACTAAACGTTGTATTGAAAATCTCTTGAGGTTATCTTGTAGAGCTGGCAACGAGAAAGTGTTTTTTTTATTTTTCTGCCCAAATAACACCAGAAAAAAATAAATCGGCAAATTTCGATTTTTCTGGCATATCTTCGGAAGTAGGTAATCAGAACTTTCTGGTTTTCTTTAGAGCTTCTATGGTTTCCGGCGTGATCCCCATAATAGACGTCCTTATGTTGGACACAATGTATACCCAAGTGTTTTCGACTTGGTATCAAAATCGTTCATCCATGGCGATATAATTTTCTAAAACTGTGACGATAATGATTTTATTTTTATTGAGGAAATACGATTTTTAATTTCCTAGCAAAATTAAGGTTGCTATTTACTGAAAATTCGAATTTGAAATACAGTTGCCACTTTGGTTTTATGTGATCACAAGTTGTCCATCAAGTTTTGTCCTAAAAAGACTCGAATTTGGAGCATGGTATCAAATGAATCATGAAATGATCATACGTTCCTTGTCATAATGAACACTAAAAAACTGAAAATATCAAAATCTTTCATTTTCTCTACCTTGAGCTGAATTTATAGTTCCGTACCCGCAACGCCGTACCGTAACGTTTGGAATTAAACCCTACTTATTGCGTGTGAACATTTATAGTTTGCGTTAACGTTGCGTTAGAACGGTTACGGTACGTAGGAAATGCCCAAATCTTATTTCTTACGGTAAATCGTGCTAACGCGTTTGTCGTCGGCAGTACTCGGATAATTCAAACAGTTGAGTTTATCCTGACGTTCGTTTCGTTTATTTACAGTAATTATTGACACTTTGTTGGTTATTATTATTTTGAAATGCACGTTACTCTTACTGACAGATGACAAACAATGGCGGATCTCGTTTCGCACTAATGCGCAAGCTCATCTCTTACCACTACGGTAACTATAAATCGTATAATTTTCGTTAACGTAAGATTTTACGGTTCCGTTCTTACGGCTACGGAACTATAAATCCGCCTTTAACCGGTCGGAAATGGACGGTTCCCGTCGGCACCTTTTAGGGCCACTTTTTTTTCGGAGAATCCGAATCTGTTATCAGAATTTTCATGACATGCTAGATGTAGAAGCTACACGCTACTACTTTTTTATTTCTTACGGAATAAGATAAAAAAAAGAAGAAAATAATGATGTGTCACACATACACAAATTTACAAGACAAATTTCAAAATCAAATATTTTATATTCATTTCTCTACAAAACATCCACGGGTAACTAGATCTTGCTGAATCAACAATATATGAGTATGATGGCAATGCATTCAAATGAATTTCTTTTTTTATCCTCTCTATCTCATTCGGTAAAAATCAAATGTGGCTCCCATACGCAATAAGGAAGTAGTAGTAGCCTGTAACTTCTACATCTAGCGTGATATGGACATTTTTAAAAACAGATTCAGATTGTCGGAAACAAGTGCCCGTAGAAGTTACTAACGGCGACTGAATCTACCGAAAAACTAACAATGTCAAATTTCGTGTTCATTTTCCCTAGTTTAAGCGACAGGAAATGCACGGTTCCCGTTAGCTCCATGTAGAAGCTACAGGATACTACTTTCTTATTTCCTATGGACGCCATGTTGGATTTTTGCGGAATGACATAGAAGACAAAAAAAGAAAAATAATGACGTATAACACTCCTTACTTTTCCATAAATTTACAAGAAAATTTTCAAAATCAAATATTGTACATCATTTCTCAACAAAACATCCACGGGTAACTAGATCTTGCTAAATCAACGTGGCTATGATGGCCGTTCTTTTATTGTCTTCTATGTCATTCGGTAAAAATTTAATATGGCGGCCATAAGAAATAAGAAAGTAGTGACCTGTAGCTGCCACATCTAGCGTGTTATGGAAATTATGATAACAGATTCTGATTCTCCGAAAAAAAAATTCCCATAGACGGTGCTAACGGGAACCGACCATTCCCTACCGCTTAAGCTAGGGGAAATGAAAACGAAATTTGACATTTTCAGTTTTTTGGTGATATCTCGGGTAGTTTCAAAGATTTTTTAAAATCTCAAATGCGTTTTTTAGCCAACTTTGCCGTCATTTAACTTAAACTGTATCTCTCACAGTTATGGAGATCCCAACATTAAGACCAAAAATAATTACGGCACACCTTGCATATGAGATTTTTTTTCAATTTATTAAGTACACCTGGGAGAACCTAAGAATAAGCACAACGTTGGTTTTGTATGTATTTGAATTTGTTTACTTTTCCTTTTGGAATTGCTTGTAATAGAGTTTTCGGAAGTTGATCGAAGTCTCCCAAAATTATTCATTTAAAGTCAACCCGCACAAATTGGAGTCAAGTGTGATTATTTTACTAGAGCTGTTACTATGATTTGCAAGATTCTTGAGTCACCTCCTTAGTGAATAAGTACTTTTCTTTCAAGTAAAGTTGAATGTTATTATCAAAAATGGATCAAACTGGATGCTTTGTGCTTATGAAAGGGTCGTAATAAATGAGGATGAAATTACTGAAGAACAAGTGAAATTACTTGCACCTACCTAATGTATTTCATTATTACTAATATTAGGTTACATCACGGCACAATTTCGACTTGAAACGGAGTTTAAAGAATTCGTTATAATTCGAAATTTTAATTCGAATTTTAACCCTGTTGACTCTTCGTAGCTTTAATTTGCTTATGGTTTCGGTAATAACAGCTATAATTGTTATTCGCCTGTTTTAGAGATTGATTTCAAAGGCCTTTCATATTTTTGCCAGTTGGAAACTCTTGCTCTCACCTTTTGATCTTCACATTGAGAATTACCTCCTACACGAAATTGGAAGGTTTGGAAAACATGACCTCGGAAACTGCATATCAGAAAAATATTTATAAAACAATAATTTTCACAAACAGGTCAAATGTTGCCCACGATAACTCAAAATGAATTACTTTCGGAGATTAAAAATGAAAAAGAACGAAAAATGATCAAATTACGAAGTTTTCCTACAAATTGAATCAACTCGAAATCTAATATCGTAAAGATATTGTCTTTATTTCTATTAATTAAGTTCAGCTGTCGTAGTTTTCGTACAAAATTTCTAAGCAAACTGTCTAAAACGAACCGCAAAAACCAATTTTATTCTTTACCGATCAGTATTTTATTTGGATTGACTCTCCAGAAATCTTTTCCCGTAACAAACTTTTGCCTTTTTTACGAAAAACTGGATTACGAGAGCTTATATCGTTTTAGCGCTCCGATTTGTACAAAAAATTTATTTGAATAATTAAGCAAAACGCACCGGACAGTGCTTGTCAGATTCGTAAAAATTGAAAAATTATGAGTTTCCACGGACAGGCGGACAGTGTCGTTTGGAAATTGTTCATTTTTGATTCCAAGTACTAAGATAATTAGAGCCCAACGAAAAAAAGTTATGATGATTATCCCTGACGTGCGTTCTTTTAAATTTATATTATTACTTTTTAAGTGCGAGAATCAAACATGAGATTTAGGACATTTACATGACAGTTATTAACCGCAAACTTTCGGTTTGTAACTTTAGTGCTTGTGAACACGCACAAATTAGGGTGAATTTAATTTATTAAGCGCAATCTTATAACGTGTAATTTATTGTTGCAGAAAGGCTACTAGAAGACCACGAATATGTCCTTTCCGCACACAGAGATGTACAAAACTACTCCAGACACGCAGATGTACGCTTCGTATTTAGGAAAGATTATAGGAAATATGAATTTTTTCATCATCCCCATGTAAGTATAGATTTTCATTTTTAAGAAAACGTGAATGAGACCGCGCCATCTAGTAGTTTGAATTGAAAGTTGTAGTTAGTATACTTCTGTGCTGCCAGATAGTGGCGGAGGATGGCGCCACGATTTATTCATTCGCGTGTAATCTATACTTTTATTTAAACGGTTATTCTTTAATCAAAAATCACTCGCTGAAAATATCCTTCCGCTTAGGGCGTTTGAAATTCCATTAGGAATATCGATAACTTATTAGCGAGGCACGAATTTTAGGGAGTTAACTTGCTTTTCCCCAAAGTAAATTATAATTAAATTTTTGGAATAAACCGAATTTTTTCGTTGGCGAACTTCTAATGAAAACATATTTTAGGCGATGCTTTCGATGATATTATTTATGGTCCACTCCCTTCTCTTTGTTACTCGTTTCGTATAGGCCACGAAAACAAATTTTAATATTACAGGAATTTATTACCGGTAAAAGGGAAACTCCTGTTTAATTATGGGTGCGATATTGATTAAGTTTCGAATGAAGTACAGCATTTATTATGCGATTTGCATTTCAACTGGCACACCTACATGAAGTTCGTTGAATTAATGAATTAATGAAATGCAGGCACGACATTGCGAGTTACAACAAAGAGGTTTAGTTTAAAAATAGGCGCACGGAACATCAATCATTTTTTATTTAAATTCTAAATGGAAGTTCTTAGTGGTTTTAATTTAATAATGCAATTTATACCGGATTTTTCGCACGTAGATCAGTGAGGAAAAATATCATCTTTAGTTAATATTCTATTACATACATACATAGGTACTCAAGAGGGGTATACGGCGCGGCGACGGTCCAACTCAATCTCTGCTCTAGGTTTTTTATTTTAATTGCTAGGGATTAAGTAATGTACCAGAGGACATTTTTAACGCATTTTCCAACTTTTTCCACCCGCCCGAGGCCTTAACTTTATGTTTATCACCCACATATTGTGGTAAAAAATGACCCCCCCCCCCATTTTTAAACACCAGGAATCCGTATCTAATAATATCTCTATGATGTCGGTCTGTCTGTCGGTCTGTCTGTACTCTCATTTCCGGCTAAACGGCTGAAACGATTGGAGCTTATTTTGATACACATATTCTTATACATAAAAGACAGGACTGAAAAGCTCTTGGCCAAAACGCGCATGCGCAGGTGTCTGTTAGAGCCGGCTCCGGACCATAAACCCGAAGCCACCATCACGGTGGCTTCGATAAAACGCCTGTTTTGACTTTTGAGGCCAGTCGGGCCCCGCGCCTCTCACACTACGGTCCGTTGAAGCATGCCCTTTACCCCATACAAGCTCCAGGGCGTTGCTGCTTGGTACTGGCTCTAGTGCATGGTGACATTCGGAAACCAACCTAGAGGTACATTGATCTGTAGGGCAACCGTGTTGTTACCAGAGATTTAGTTAGTTTGGTTTCATATGTTATGCACTGAGCGTTAGTCCTACCAACTCCGATTGGAATACAGTCCGATCGCCTTTCTAGGATAGACAATCACTTAATTACCTCGCCCAGAATTCGAGAATGGCCCACCTCCGAACCTCTGCTATTCATCAACTCCTTTTTTGAGACGCAAGGATCCCAGAAGGGCCTCCATGTGATTCCTAGGTATTTCACTGACTCTGAAAATTAGATGTTCTTGGAATAGCACCTTTAATTTTGTTGTGAAGAGAACTAGCTTCGTTCTTGTCAGATTGATGGACAAGAGGTGTTCCCTACACCATTCTTCGGTTACTCTAAAAGCTGATTACATCAGTTTTTTGGAATAAAATTATAAACTCCCCCCCCCCCCCCCTGAGAATTTCAGAGTTCTGATCTACAATCATTAAGAATGTCATTTGTAACTTGCGTCACCTGTCACAGGCACTTGTAACTTGTCGTTCACTTTCGCGTTGGATGCAGTCACAGCCGTCTATAATTACAAGCCATGCTGAGAAGTTTGGCAACGCTGTCCGAAATCAATCGGTGGGCCGATTTAAGTTTTAATGGCGTCTTGTTGCTCTTGAAAAATTGCATTTTTCCTCTCTCCTGTGTTTCGCCTTGGTGGTTTAAATACAGAAGAAAGATACTTAGGCAATTGTACATATATTTTATTTATTAACAAAAATGGATAATAACATTTTTATTTGACTTTAAAATTCGGAACGCTGTAAATTGGTAACTGCATGATAATGTGTTTTCCATCGGGATCTCCGAAATTGGTGAACTTCTGTCGAAAGAGGTCGAGGTGAAGCACACGCTTTGTTAAAACAGGTAAATAGGAATATTACACCCAAAACACGTATAAAATACACCTTAAATCTGCCAAGTTGAATTAGGAAATCGGCCTACCATGCACTGTTGCCATAATTCTTAGCACGGCTTGTAAATATAGATGGTTGTGATGCAGTTAAACATGCCTCTTAAAACGTCAAATCCGACAAACGTCAGACCCTCGCGCGAGGTTGCCAGCTCACTTCTACGTGATTGGTTGTAGGTTTGTGACGTATTTTTAGACTGAAGCGTTTCAAATTCGGACTAAAAACACAGCTTTTCAATATTTCAATATTCAAATTTTGGGTTTATTTTACTCGCAAATAAAAATTGAGGACTCACGGTTTTTTTTTATTTTTAATGTACTTTGTAGATCAGAAATAAAAAATGAAGCCGGGCCAGCTCACTTCTACGTGATTGGTTGTAGGTTTGTGACGTATTTTTAGCCTGAAGCGTTTCAAATTCGGACTAAAAACACAGCTTTTCAATATTCAAATTTTGGGTTTATTTTACTCGCAAATAAAAATTGAGGACTCACGGGTTTTTTTTATTTTTAATGTACTTTGTAGATCAGAAATAAAAAATGAAGCCGGAATGCCCCCATTATAAGTTCTTTCAAAATATAGAATATGTGGGGGGGGGGGGGTGCTCGATTTAAAAATGATTTGATTTTGATGCTCAACTATGTTTACTTAGAACCGAGCTTAGAACACTCTGTGCAGTATCGTCCTTAGAAATTATAAAACCATAACAACGATGAAACGAGCGTTGATATTTCATAACAAAAATGGATCAAAACAACATAAAAAATACTTACACTGTTTTAAAAAATAATTACAGCTACTTTTGCATTACTGCATTTGTTTTATGGTTGATTTTATTAAGTAGAGTTTTAGATAATTCTCCCAAAAATATTTCTAAAGGGATTTGTTTCTAAGGAACGTGAAACCCTGTAAGACAATTGGCTCTCGTAAAATTAGCATCTTCATCCATAGAAGACTGTGAAGTTAGGAAACTTCCAACAATAGATTAATATCTACCTCTGAATTGAGTTACCAATTTTGTGGTTAATCGTGTTAATAATTCTGACTTTACATGGAATGAGCTATCGATTCCAATTTTAAACCTTTTAATCAACCCCTGTTAATTTTACAGGGTAATTACAAAAGGACTTTATAACTTTTCTTGCATATAGAATTTTATTAAGAAGACTCATACATGTGATTGAGAGGTCCTCTTCCAAGTTTCGTTTACGTATTGTTGCAGTCGGTACTATAACGATACTTCAATAGAATGTTTTCCAATAATAGTGTGGAGAAAACTAATTTTCCCGTTTTTTCTCGGGGCAATGAAAAATTGTTTTTTTTTTGTGAATTCGTCCGTGAAATTTGTGTCCTCAACAAAACTTCTCCCCCGGTGGAATATCCGTTTAACATTTACTTACTTTATTTGACGTCTTGCGAGAAGGCGTCGGAAATATCACGCCAAAACACACAAAAATTAATCCTCACACTTAAATATTCCTTTCGCCATCCTACTATTTTCATAGAAAGTATTTTTACTTTACACGCAAATTTGTGTGTAGTGCGGATTTTTATATGGAGTTTGTTATACACTGTGTCCAAGATAAGGATCCCCGAAACTTTAAAGTGTTATTGTCATGCTTTAAAGAAATCCATAAAATTCCGATTACTTTTTGTTATGATGTTATTTGAACAAATACAAAAATACAAAACGCGTTCTCATTCTACCTTTTGAGCTCTACAAGACACCGTTGAGAAATTTTCAAGTCAACGGTTTGTTTCTGAGAAATCATCATCTTTATTATTTTATACAGCCCGTAAACAAAAGTACAGGGTGTAAATCGAAAAGTGGAACATAGGCGTTTAACATGGAAAATTACTTTCTCTTTGCGCAAATGTTTCCTAATTATTTTACGCAAAAATACTTCAAATAAAAGTTTTAGAGATATAAATTCTGCATCTAAATCATGTGAAACGATTATTCTAATTCTTCTTGTATGCGAAAAAATTAATTATAAAGATTCTGTTTTCACGAGTTTTTAGTCTAAGTAGCCATGGACTATGTTTTTCTTTTATCATAGTCCATGGCTACTTAGACTAAAACTCGTGAAAACAGAATCTTTATAATTAATTTTTTCGCGTACAAGAAGAGGTAGAATAATCGTAGACCATAGTTATCCATTTTATTTATCAGACATAGCGTATGATGCAGTCAAATGCTTTACTTAGACAATTAGACTAGAGGTGCGTTTTTACGCTCATGCAATTTGCGCAAATTAACTTGTGCATGCCAATTTGTGCAAATTCACTGAACTCATGCATCCATTTTCACGATTCAAGTTTGGTGCACAAATTTGTCTACAGTACAGCTCAGATTGTCATTGTAGACGATGGACTACGAAGAGGAATTAATAGCATTAGCTGGTGTTTGTTTAATTAAAAAGTTAAAAGTGCTAAAAGACAAAAAAAGAAGATCGCAGAAGACAAGGAAAGGATTAATAAAGCTCAATAAACTGTACCATGAACTCTTTTTCTTTCTTTGACATTATTATCAGTTATCACAAACAAAACATAAAATAGCGTAAGTGTAAATATTGTACAGATTTAATAAATATAATAATAATAATAATAATAACAACACAGTCTGTTAAAACCACGTGCACGTCGGAACAGCAATTTTGTTTACTATTTTTCACCCTCTTACGCATGCGTCGAATTGGTGTGTCGTTTGCACGTTCATGCATTTGCACCAACCACATGCAAAATATCTGACCATCCAGATTTTACTCAAGCCAAATTAGCATGCACAAGTCAATTTACGCAAATTGCATAAGCGTGAAAACACACCATTAGATCAACAAATCATAATCATTACTTGCCTTTGCCAGTTCATTGTACAACGTTTGTAGAATTTTATAAAAAGCGAGCGCGGTAGATTTGCCTTTCTGATATCCTAACTGGTTGGCACATAAGATATTGTTCTTTTCAAGAAAATGATCTATTTGGGAGGCCAATTCCTAAAAAAAATTGCAAACGTTGACAGAAGAGCAATGGGTCGATGGTTTTCTACGAGCTTCCGGTCACCCCTTGTATATATATGAAGGCACCTTTGCTATTTTAAGTATGTACGAGTATATGTCGAGGAAATGACTGTGCTATCTACATGCATTTATTAAATAAACTAGAGGCATAGATTAAAAAAAACTTAATCTATTCTAGAGGTTTTGCAATAAATAATGCACATTTCTTTGATTACCGCAGGAATGTTATCACTGTATCAGGCCCAGATGAGTTAGAGTTCTTCATTCCATTGATAATGTTCCTTATTTTTACTTCTACTAATCTTTCAGATAAATTTATTGTTCAATCGAACTTTTTAGCTCAAATATTCTTGTTTTGGTACTACCCAATTTTTTGCATACTCTATTGTGACGCCCTGTATAAACATCAATGGGCACAGTTCCCAAACTAGATTAGCGTATTGACGATGACGGGATTCACCATTCAACCGTGTTAAGTAAATAACGTGAATTCGTTTAACCGTGACAAATTTTCCGAAAAGTAATAAATAAGTCACCAACTTCAACACGCTTCAGTAACAACTTTTCGAAGCCCGCAAATACATTATTAAAACTTAGGAATAATTAAAAGTCTGAAATGTTGAAAAATCGTGATGAAATGTGCTGATTTCAACACTAATTAGGCCCGTTTATACTTTCGTGGCTTTTACTCGTCATGATTTTGGCACTTATTTTAGTTCCCGATCGCATAAATTACAAACTTTCGTGACCACCAACAATAATGCAATTTTAACTGTTGCTTAAAGCAGAATGTTCTTTATGATTTTAATAATTTGTTTCTCTTTTAATTACAGCAATTTTTTCCACCCGACATGATTGATTTAGACAGCTACGAGGAGCTAAACGGAATCAACGTCAACCATTCGGCCTCTCTTCAGGTAATTTTATTGCATTTGTCACAATATTCATGTCCACCGTTCATAACTATAACGGTAAACGAAATGGCAATAACTTTAATTAAAACGTATTGTACTTACACGAAAGCTCTCCTTCACAGTGTTTTATTTGATTTTCACCTCTTGCTGTAGTCATTCTCAAATTGATCGTAAATTTGAAATAACGCAATGAGGTATTCACGCTCACGCACCTCCAGCTAAATTCTAAAAGCAAAGAAGCGATTAAAACGCAAAATAAAGTGGACGTTGCCATAAATTATTATTGCGCGTAATTATAATAGAATTGAATACGCTAGGTCAGTGACAGGCTGTCTGATGTAATTTCTTATGCTTTTCTAACTTATTGATTATACTCAACACGTATTCTACCTATGAAGTAACTTAACGCCGTGTTATCCAAATCGATATCACTAGGATTCTCGCAATGGTGCGTCGTTTCTTCCGTTTGATTGGTTGCCATTCAAAAATATCCAGTTGTAGGTATTAAACCGTAAATCCTGAATCCATTCGTACGAAATATTTTTGGAAAGGACGCTTGAAACCCATGGTCCTTTATACCCATTAATTTAGGCTCGTGTCGGAGGGGAATGGTGGTAGTAAACTCATCCGTTTGCGCTAAAGTTATCCCTTGCTTTGCTACAGATGCCCGAGAGCTCGAGGTCATGTAATTAAGCTAGATGAAATTAATTTAATGTTCGTGGATGGAATTGTCACATTCGGAGTTTCATTATCTGTAATTGAACTTATAATTCTTTGGCCTGGTCTCCCTTTGCTTTGATGTAATGAATAATTAGAAAATGTCGACTCGAAGAACTGTGTCCAAGTTTCCTTTGTGGTAGATTTAATTATACAATGTAACAATCTTGAACTTGGTGGCAAAGGAACTCAAAGATTTTAATGGAGTAATGGATTCAATAAATTTATTATGTTAAAATTAAAAAATCCCCTTGAGTATTTAGCATTATGGGTTTCGTACGATAGTTCTTTTGGTGAAGTACCTATCTCCTTTATCGGATGGCATGGTCGCAAAAAAAAACAAAACTTTAATTTGAGTGGGTTTATAAGCTCGATGTCTCGAAAACTCGAAGTGGAAGGTCTAGTCGATAGAAACCTGTCGGTAGTTCCAAATTGCAGAATATGTTGAAAACAGAATCTCGGCAAAGGAAAAATTTAAGATCTGGGCGAGACGTGCATGTCGGTGTACCATGTTATTACGTACGTACCCAATCCTTAGTTTGTGGAAAAAGCATATGTCAACTGTAGATGGTTGCGCATCTACAGAAATTATTTTTGAATGTACAGGGTGTCCCATTTTTACGGTGTCAATGCACAGCGGATTTTTTAATGGAGCACCCTGTATATTTTTCGCTGATTCGATGTCATTTTTAACCTCTGCGTGGAAACCTATTCACTATTTGGTTGAGCTACTCCCACTTTGATAAATCGTAGCGACCTTGATTTTAAAGTTAAGAAATACATTTGATAAATAATGTTAATCTGAATAAAAGGAAACACTTTGGTAATGAAAAAATTGAATATAGTGATACAGGGTGTTCACAAAAAAATAGTAATAGTAAAATAGTAAAAGTGCCATAAGTATTTTTTTCAAATTGAGCTACCACTATTTTATTTCTCTATTTGATAGTTTTTATAAGGGGTGTCCTGTGCCAAAACTGTATTTTTTAGGTTATTCCATATTTTTCGAAAAAATAATTACCTTAGTATATTTATAGTATAGTTAGATAATGGGGGCGGATATCCATGATCAGATCATAGGCTATTTCTTTTAGGTAACAAATCAGCATTACTTAAGTATATCCGTTTTATTAAATTTGGTTATGCTAGGTACTACTAACTTTGTGGTTTTGCTTTTTTGTGAATATTAAATAAGTAAACGAACACATTTAATATAATTGGATTGGATTATTTGAGGTTGTGCATTTATAGATATGTTAATGCGATTTCTAGTTTTAATATTAACCACTCACATGGAAAACGGAAGTGTGAATGTGTTAATCCCGTTCGTTTCTTGGGCTTCTTTCCACTGTACAATGGGTATTAGATTAAAAATTCGTTTTTTGTATACGTTTCGGTAACCGAATATTTTTTATTTTCCAGAATTTGGTAACGCAAGAAGGAAAGTGCCCGATCATATTTTCGCAGGTCTGGTTACAAGATCCCCAAAAACAGACGTGGGGAAAGGCCTTCTTGCTGCTACGCGATAGGAAATTGTACCTGTCTTATAAAGTGCAGGTATTAGCGAAATTCCTAAGGACCGTTAAATCGAAGGAAAGCTCGGTGAGTGAATTAATAATTTTAAAAGTTGACGCAATCGATATTAACCGTCTTGGCGTTTTTTTGATTATTACTATACACCAGTTTATATTAACTGTAAACATTTTGTTTATTCGTGCGGAACACATTGAAACCAAAGTCAAGGTTACGCCGTTGACTCACGTTACACCTTTGTAGATACACAATAAAACAACCTTATTGACTGGTTGGCCAACTTGGTCAAGGACATTGCTACTTAAATTGTTGGCAATATGCAGTTTATTGGGGCGATCTGACCGACGCCTGAACCCTAAAAAAGTCGTAATTACGGAGACTTATTCATGACCATGACCGTGGTCAAATTCACTCTACATTATTCATGATGGCATTCTTAATTATCCTGTCGCGTGGTAGTTCATTTTCTATCACGCGCTTATTAATCCTATATTTTCGGAAGGTAGCGTAAGCAAAATTCATAATGGGGTATATTTGGATGAACGGTTCCTTTCTAATTCAATACAATCAGCGTAATTTACCGGATGAAATATGCCCAATTTAATATTTAAATGTTACCATTTTACTCGGCGTGGAAATTTGAATTCTGCTCTCGCATTTAGAGATTAGATTAGCTAATAGGTTTCAAACTCTTGAAGGGTACTTTTGATGTAGTATACCAGATTTCTCTCCTGGCTTAAATAAGAAAGTTAACAACTATACATTAGATTCAAAATTTAGTGGTCGTACTCGTCCGTCAGCACCCTCGTAACTGCTTTATCTCAGGTGTGCCAATCGAAGAATGATAAAGGAAGAGAAAGTAAAAATTAATGCGTCTTCCAAAAATAGATACGGGGCGAGGATGAGAAGTTGTCAATTTTACAGCTTTTACCGGTCTACCAGGGGGGAGATGTCGATTTTACTATTTTCTAAGAAAAAGTCAAATTTGCAACACTTACAGTGCACTGAAAATAATTATTTAGAGATTACACCACATCACCATATCTACTAGTCATTTCCGCACAACATCGTCACTTCTGCATCCCGGTGTTGCGACGAACTTCGTAGTTCGTACTCAATCGATGAAATTTTAAAATTAAACGATGTAATTAGTTAAATTAATTTAATTGATTATAAAGAAACGATACATTACCAATTAAATTCAGTATAAAATCACTTCCAATGCTAGCGGAAGACAGACTCGAGCGCCACCAAAAGATGCGGACTTGCCCCTGGACAAGATTTCGGAAGGGCTGCGAAACGGATGTACCATATAACACGTTGGAGAAACCGTCTCCAGAGATCTTGCGCATCACGAAGTGTGGGTCAATTTCCAGTAACACTTGAAGCGGAATAGAACTGTATTAATCACTTTATCAATGATATTTAGGCAAGTTCTTTCTCACGAAAAGTAACTTTTCCTATGACTCCCTTCGAAAATGACATAATTGATCAAAGTTAATATTTCATACATGCCAACGAAAGCAAACACGTATTTTTCTCGTATGGTCTCGGCCATTAAAAAACAAAAACGCTTGTTATGTAATATGCTATTTTCGAATCCGCTGACCAAGCGTGTACTTTCAAAATAGGCCTACTTAAAAAAATCAGTTGGTATCGAGTACACGTACACATATTACAACGTAAGTTATTCGCCAACAGCATTTTCTGGTTCGGAAAAACTCTAGGAAATATGGAACACAGCTTAGTACATGACTTGGTTTTAAAATTCTGCCGTGTTCCGTCTGCCTGTAATAATAAATCGATCGTTGGATTATATCCTACAATTTTAATGCAATCCCTTTTGGAAGTTTCAAACTTTGTATTCGATTTAAATATAAATTGTTCGCACATTTCAAGTGAGTGCAGACTATTAACACTTTGTGTGTTCCACTTCAGCTGCACCACTTAATTAAACAAATACCAAATTTTGGCTTGGTAATTAATGCATACATATAATTCCGCTTAATTACAATGCCGAAGAAGATTTAAATAATTTGCTAATATTATATGTGTAGTTATATCCGCTTTCTATATTGACTTGTTTTTCTTATCTTGGTAATTATAAAGCTTTTGCATAAACCGTGTGTTGTTTCAATAACAAAAAACTGCCTCTTAGAACATCCCACAGGGGGCAGGTGTACAGAAAGGTTATGTTATATAAGTGCCAGTTCAACCATTTTTGAATTATTTTAAAAGGTTGACCCAGTGTTTAGCTACTTTGATTGCATGCCATAGGCTCCAAATTTGTGATCACGAATTCGCGCGTGTTTCATTTTTCTTGCTTATAAAGTAGAAACACCTCGGAGAGTCACGATTCCAATATTCATGGGCCGTTTCTAAGACTAAAGGCCATTGCACAAAATTTCATCAAATGTCGACGTTTTAGACCATACTTTTAAAGAATAACATTTTTTTCCGTCTGTATGTACGTACGTACGTTTGTTGGCAATTTTCTGAGAAAACGGCTCGACGGATTTTGTTGAAATTTTGTATATATGTTTTAGGCATACCGAACAGAAAAATAACGGGCCGGATTTTTGAAAAGAAATTTTGGAGCGCCGTAACGGCATCGAACTTTTTTTTTCAAATAGCAACCTAAAATTTTTATTCTATTATTTGGAAGACCTTATTTTCCTGTGTACAACCTACAAAAAATTGGGCCGGGTTATATTATCAAAAAACGGAGAAAAAAATTGTCAAAGTCAAAAAATTGTGTTGCATATGTGCAAAACGCAACGATCTTGTTTCTGAAGCAATTTAAACGAAACATATGTTGGCAATTTTTGGTTTCAGCTAGGAAGCTATTCTGTCAAGAATTTGACACCTGGTTTTTTTGGTTACTCAGTGGCCAGCTTGTTTTACAATCCCCATCTTGTTTCCAGTCGCCATCTTGTTTCATGTCTTCACCTTGCATTTGTGTCTTAACATGCCGGCTTGAAAATATAAATTGTAACAGCAACATGTCGACCGCATGGCCGATTATTTCAGTCGCCTATTTTGGGAAATCATCCCTTACGTTGACAAAAATTACGAACAGGCTAACACGCCCATCTTAAATTCTTATCAATAAAAACCGAATAAAATTTACATAAACTGTACATTTAGTCGGATCTAAAATGTACAACTGGATTTCCAATAATAAATGGTCGAGAGAAGAAGCCTGAAGTGTATTAAATATTTCAGTTCCCTTTGACAAAGTCGTTTAATATTGTTAAAAGATGGGAAGCTGTATATATTACTCGTATAAGGAAACCATATATGTCTTGCGCGCTTTATGTATAAAGGAAAACGAGACTCCGCTAAATAATTTTGGTTGAAAGTCTTCAAGATGTGTACACGATTAGTTATTAGGGACGTGTCATTCAAACCGCTTCCTTCGTTTCGATCACCGGTACCGTATTTTCGAGCTACCGACTCGGAAAATTCAATAAAGAAAATGTACGGGAAAAGCATCCGATTACTTAATTAATAATACGGGTTTATTTTTTGTACGCATTTTCTCGTCCTATTCGCAGGGGCGGACTGGCGGACTACCAGCTGGCCTGTACGTCATAGTGGCCCGTTGCAAATGTATAAGTACCTATGTACTGTATTAGACAGCATTAATGTAAGTTTCTTGCAGTATTAATAAATTATTAACACGTCTCATTGGGGTTGAAGACAAACTGCTTATTTATTTCTGTCTCAGTTTCCATTTACTAATATAATTATCAAACTTCATACTCACACTGACACACTTAATATAACACCTTACTTTGTTGGAAACTACACCAAATCCTTTATTTCCGATCAATAGAGCAGGTATGTCAAACTCATTTATCATCAAGGGCCATTTTAAGGTTTCCAATTCCACATATAGCTGCGGACCACATCAACAATTTTGATTTGTTATTATTAACAAAAACAAATCATATATACACAAAAACGAAAAAATACAAATAATCATAAAATCATTAGACGCGCTCAAGAGAATGTACCGTGTGTCCTATGTTGGTTGAGACTGCAGTGCATTAGTTACAATGGATACAATAAACAAAACAAGATCTCCATGAATCCATGGCCTACTATTTAAAAAAGTAAAAAATATTGTTTTTATTGATTGTACTCCCTAAAATTAAAAAAAAATATATAGGTTGTGACTGTATAATTGATTTTCGCGAAAGGAATGCTTTAAAATGAAGTTAAAAATGTTTTTGTGGTGCAACCCACAGAAAAACTCGTATCCGTTACCATTTGTCGTGACCATATTAGACAGAGAGAGGAATTATCTACGTGTGGTATTCATTGTTTAACCAATTTAATACACAATTAAAAAGTAAAAAAGTAAAACTGTTTTTGAGATCTGGAGGAACCTACATACATTATGTATCGTGTGTGGTGTGTCCTATTTTGGTGAGGACTGCAGTGCCTATTTTAGATATTTTTACGCAGAATTTCTAATCGAATAAGTGTTTACCTTTTTTCTATCTTACATCACAAATAGTCAAATTTTTCGTTTTCACCCTGTATATAAGAAACAGCTACATTGATTCTGTTTCTGGAATTAAAAGTTTTACAAAACGGTGGGTCGCGAAAACCGCAAGTGACTATTTTTAAAAACAGCTGAGATACACTGCAATCTCAACCAAAATAGGACACACTGTATCTGCCATTGAAAGGACTCTAAGTATCATTAGCAAATTAAAAATAATAGTTTGCGTGGACAAGATCTTAGGTTTATTGTTCGTATCTAAGCGGCCATAGACCAGAATTCATAGTAAACGATTTGTCTATTCGCACCTAATGGTAAGTTGAAATTAAGATTCATGGCAACCTATAATCTGGTAATCAAACAACCAAGTTTTATTCGGCATGGTTTAAGTAGAAAAGGTATGGTTTGTTGGTTAGCGACGCACAATAAATCTTTGTTTTTATTGACTATTGCTCAATTCTAATGATAGTGAACTAATGGTAATGAGTGTATAAACCTACCATTAGTCTCTGCAACAGTTCAGGGAGGATAAAATTGTGAATTGTGCTAAAGGCGTACAAAAATTATGTCTTGGCGTATAAGGCAGAGTTGATTAAATACCAGGTACTGAACGAAATAAAGACGGGTGCCGTTTGCTTACACATCATTAACTCATCATGGAGGAAACAATTGCATTAACTAGAGAAAATGCAAGTTCATGATAAACAACTGTCTAAATAATAACGGATATCAATGCAATATTCGA